TATATATATATATATATATATATATAAAGTTAAGAAGCAGTCTATATTCTGCAAGGCTTTTAGCAGAAGTTCCTTTGTAGTGTCCATGCTTAATCACTTATGTATTTTGTTTTTTATACAACTAGTTTGGCAGGTATTACAACTAACCAGCCATCATTTTATATTATGTTTTGGTCGACAGTCACAAAAGTTGAGACACATGGACACATTTTTATTAATATAGGATCTTATTTACCCATTTTAGACATTTGTTTTGTTATTCTATTGTATCAAATATCAGATAAAAACAAACGGTGCTCTACACGAGGTTACAGCTGTCATATTAGATTGTGGCAAACCTAATAAGCAACTGTTTAGCTAATCTGCTATTTAAGGCAAAAATAATGTGATTTGTTTACAGTACTTTTAAAAAGACAATAAAAATATATATTTCTAACAAGAGGGGACCAAGCCTGTTGCAGGGTTCACACGCATGTACAGAAAACAGCGTTTACTTTATTGTTGATTTGTAAAAAAAATGTATGCTTAACTTGTCCCCGAAGTGTTTCCCTAGCTTATACTCAGCACTAATCATTAAAATGGCTCTAAATTCTGATTCTTTAGAAATAACTTTTTTTTCCTTAGAAGTAACTGGTGTAATTTTGACCCTATTCTGTGCATAGCAAGGACCCTTAAACTGATTATATCTTTGGATGGACTCTTGTAAGGGCAAGGTCCAGATCTAATTGCTTGCTAGGACCTGCTTAGGAGCCCAATGGCTTGGTTGCTTCTGAACTTTAGTCTGGCTTTAGGGACCTTCAGCAGAAACCGGTCATGATGTTTGCAGCATCGTAATGCATCTCTTCAGAGGGCTATTGAAGTTACAGTCTTTGAACAAGTAAAAGAAAAAACAAGCCGTGTTTGGCTTACAAATTAGTTACCACAAACATCATAGTGCTTTGATCAAAATGACCAATTGCTATGACTGTTGTTTTGTATCAGGTCGTTCTGTTTCTGATGTGGAACTATTGTACTGCCCTCTTGTTGAGGATTCCATTGCAAACATCTAAAGATTAAAAAAAAAAAAAAAAATGGTTCTGAGGCGCTGCGTGAATTGCAGTCTTAAAATCTCTGAGAGGAAGATAACCCCTGAGCAATGTCTCTGAGAGTGCTAAAGCTTGAAAAAATAACAAATGTCCCCCAACTTATCAAATTTAGAAACTCCTCCAACAGTCAAACTAGGGTTTGAGAGAATTTCTTTTTTTTTCTTGCTTTTTTTTTTATTTAAGAGGTTGCTGCTGTCGCATAATCAAGCAAAAAAAGGCAATTTTTTTTTTTTTTACATTAGGCCTGGATATTGTTAGCAGACTATGTAAAATATGTAAATATTGTTTCAGTTATTATTTTATAATAACTGAAATATAGGAATATATATAGCACTGGATCTGCAACTAAACATGGGGAGGTGAGAAGAGTAATACTTAAAAATAAAGTAAAAATATCCGGATTTAAAGGCTTCTTATTGTGTAGTAGGATTCAGTATGGTTGAAAAGTTTGTTTGGGTAATGCATCAAATGTCTTTATTTCAGTAAAAAAACATCCCCGGGTGAAAGTAGTTTTCTCTTTGTAACAGTGAGCACTATGTTGTGACCAAGCTTGGTTTTCATCAGACTCATTGTCTGCTGTGGCTTATCCCACCTAGATAAGCTGATAACCAAACAACCAATCATTAAACACACTAGTCATCACTCTGTTAAATAAGTTAGAAAATGTTTTAACAAGAGCAAAAAAAAATAAAAAATGGAAAAATTATTAAAAAATGAAATAAAAAGATTTTAAGAGGCTATTAAAATATAGATCAACTCATTGCCTTTTTCAAGAAACCATTCTTTTTAACTATTTTCCAGCTGCCATTAATGCTGTTTCTAGCACTAATGTGATTTTTTTTTATTGTGTCGTCTTGCCTGTCCTGAGATCGTTAACCTTTCTGACACTTCCCCCAAAACTAGCACCTCCTCCTTTGAAGGCACTAGACAAACCCCTAGAACAAAACGTAACAACATGAGGGTGAGAAATGGAGATATGCGTCTCTTCCGTTTCCTACATTTCATCTGCCCCTGAAAGCACACTCTGTGGAGCTGACCTGAGATCAGCACCCCCATCCCTTTCCTCCTCTCTCTCGCTTTCCTCTTTCATCCACACCCATCCGTGCTCCCTCACTGATAGATAAGGAAAGCTGAGCCCCCCTGTTCAGGTCTTATCAGCTCCCAACATCCAGATGGTTCTTATCAAAGAGCTTGAACTCAGGACTGTTGATTGAAGGGCAGATTTTCTCTTCCAGTCCTCTTATCTGACTTTCTCTCTGTTTCCTTCAACTATCTTGCAAGTACTTCACTTTTAGCCTCACCAGATGCACCAAACTGGATCTCTAAAGATTTGTTTTATGCTTTCTTTTTGTTAGATCTAGAAATTCAACGGGCTGAAGCAAGAATTGTGGCTCAGCTGGAAGAGATAAAGATCCCAGAATCAAAATTGTACGGCAAAACAATTACATCCACTGGACCTAATAAAATCTGTTTCACTGCTTGCAATAGTTTTTGGAATATCCTAATTTTTAATTTATGTTCATATCACACAGAAAAGAGAAGAATGTGACATTTTACACAGAGATGGACAGTAAAATGATGCTGCGGCAAATCCTGATGGAAAAAGAGCTTCAGATCCAGGATCTACAGGAAACTGTGAAGGTACACTCAAACTGCTGACCGGTTGATGATCTGCGAAAACAAGCATCTACCTTTTCTATGCTTTGTATGCGGTAAATGTTGGCTTGATCATGTTTCTGTAAAGCGTGTGTGTGTGTGTGTGATGTGTCACACCCCTGTGTCAGCAGCAGCCCGTGAGTCATCAGCGACTCAGCGGATATAAACCCTTTTTTTTTTTTTTTTTGCCACATCTGCTTGAACATAAAAAAGAAGAATGTTGACCTTTTCTTCAAAATTCTTCTACTGCCTCTTTAGATAAACTACTTTTTCATTCTCTGTTTTCTTGCATGTAGGTCCTGCAGGTGAAAGTGAGCAAGCTGGAAGACCTGGTTGCACTGAAGGACAGGCGCATTGAACATCTGACCTGTCTCCCCGAGGTGTACAAAACAAAACTACAGTTGGCTGATTAATAAAAAGAAGACACCTCACTTTCAAGTTTAAACTTCTTTTTTGTCCTTGCTTTCAGGTTTAAACTTCTTTTATGTGCTAGCTGAAGTTTGTCTATTAGTAAAAAAAATTTGGTTCAGTGGTTCCAGCCTTGATTATGTGATATTTACATTAAAAATCCCTAAGATGATGGAATCAGTTGTTAATTATGTTAAGAAAGTGTGATAAGTTACTATCTGAACTTTGAGATTACTTATTTTTTTTGTCTCGTCTTCAGACTCGTGTTTTAAATCATCAAACTTCAGTAAGATCACCCAACAAAAATCCAAAAAGAAGTTCCAAGCTGATGATTCAATAAAAATAAAAAAAAAACAATTACAAGACTATACAAACCATCTAAAGTGTTGCTCTTATAAAAAATAAACCCCTTAAGCTTTTGATATAACAAGCATTTAATCGTTTATGTCACTGAAAAGGATTGTTGGCCCGTATTTGCTGATTTGTTTTCATTTAGTGTTTGTTTTGGGAAAGAATCTTAAGCATGTATAGCCTGTAAGAGGTCACGCCACAGTTCATCAATTTTAAGTATAAACTTTGTCCAGGCAACTCCAGCATTTATATTAAGAGATATGGTTTGCTCTGGATAAATGTGATGTGCTTAAAAGTATAGAGAAGGATGTTCCTTTTCTAGGTGGATCATCAAAATAAGTGGTCCTCCTAATTGCCATTCTATGTTTATGTAAGGCCCATCCTCAGTGCTCATCGCTATTTTCACTTACTGGTGGTGAGTCTCACATAGTGGAAAAATTGCAAATCTTCTTTTAGACACTAACCTTATATGAGCGATGCAAACAGCAACTTTTAAATGAGGAGAAATTGACTTGTGCATTGCAGGTACCTGGTTGTGTATGTGAATTGTCTTTTAAGTGGAGAGGGCGGGTCTTTTAAAAAATTCGTAAAAATCCTCCTTTATAACTTTTACGTTCAGAAACTTATGGCTGAACATTCTCCTTCAGGATTTTCTGGATAAAGGCAGAATGTGTTTATTTTTCAAGGATCTTATAAGGTGCTTTGTTCAGAAATGTGAGTCAGGCCTTTTTGTTTTGCCAGTAGTGGTTTGGATCCAGGGACTCTCCCTATCGCTGTCACATTTCTACAAGTTGGATCAAAAGATCTTGCTTTTTAAAATCTTTAAATGCTTTTTTTTATGTATGAAATCTAATATTAAACAATTACTTCATTGATAAACCCAGTTTATTAATAAAGTAATGATTGCCTTCATGGCTGTTACTCAGTTGTTTACTTTACTAACTTCTATTAATTCCACTGTGTGGGAGCCTGTAGGTTCACTTCCTTCAATGAAAAAATGACATCAGGGACATTCAATGAAACATCTAACTGTGAAACTGGCTCAAAGATAGAACACAATTCTTACTCTCTTCTTTTCCACTTTGAGATAGGGTTTTTTTCAGAATGAGTCTATTGATCATGCATAGATGACCAAAAATGGAAAGATTTATCATCCTGCAGCTTATAAAAAAAGCTTAAATCTGTTTAGAATCAGAATTAGTATTACCTTTCCCCCTTGAAGATTAATATCTAATTACATTATTGAAAGATCTCTGAAACAAACCAAAAATAATCACAACTAAGTATTTATGTGTCTAATAGATATGCAAAAAATATTTCTACCACCACTGATAAAATGACAGCCTCAAGAAGACAAACACCAACAGTTCATTGTTGCATATATTACTATAGTTTTATTAGGGTTGGGCGATTAATCAATAAATGTAATTTTCTATTTGAAAAGATTTTATTTCATTTTTTGAACCAATGGTCTTCTTGAGATTCCATAGCTCAGGTTGACATCAGTTCATCACTTTTCATACTTAGATTTGTAATTATAACTGACACTGTTAGCTGAAAACATTTAGTTTGTTATATTTTCATAGTTTCTTGTAAAACGTAGTTTAACAAGCATTTACACAGTTTGAAAGTCGTTGCCCTTTACATGAAGTTCACCTTCCAGGGGTGATTATTGAAATAAAAGCTAGTTTCTGAGAATAATGGATGCCATTTGTCATTTTTATTATGAAACTTAAGATAGAAAAACAAATCAATTTATTGGATTTGATAGGAAAAAAAATCACAAAATCTTTAAGTCATGTCGCCCAGCCCTACATTTTACCACCGTTGAATTTATGAAGTAACTCCACTGTAACACGTTGAGATTAGCTGGTTGAAAACTAGGCATGTGCATGAGTCGCAATGCTGTATAGCTTACTAACTGCAGTTTGGATTATATCAATTATAATGATAAGTTATGATATGTTTTTTAAATAGCTTGCTTAAGTGACAGAAAATCATTGCTTACTTACATTGTTTTGACTAGTGATGAGAAGAAACAAGTGGGGGAGGGGAAATGGTGGAAAACTCTTTGCAAATGCTATGGAAAGACAATAATGTTAGCTGTTTTAGAGCTTCGGTTTTTTCGAAAACCTAATACACCAAAATAGAGGCTCGGACTGGGAACGATTTTTGGCCCTGGCATTTTTCCATCTACACTGGCCAACTTATGGACCCCCCCCCCTGAAAAAAAAAAATAGAAGCACAGTCAAACGCGTGCTTCTCAAATGTGTAACACAATACGAACACATATTGTGGATTAACCAATCTATCTTCAAGCATCACACGACAACCATCACCAAGACTTCTATAATGCGGTTTTACTGGCTTTGGTAACCAAAGCACGTAAAACGGGAAACGTTAGCCTTTAGATGCAAAACCCCATCATGCACCACACCATATTTTTGCAAAATATTCAAACATAAATTTGCCAAATATAAGAGGAACATCAAGCATTTTAGTTTTATTATAATTTAGTTTGTTGCAAGGATTTTACAGTTTGAAGAAATAGAATTTAACAGTTTGAAGAAATAGAAAATTACACCATATGCCAACCGTCACAAGGATGTGCATGACAAGGACGGCCTATATATACTGCATGCATCATTTAGGTAGTTAAGATTGTATTACTTCTTGAGCTCCTTGAGTAATTTACTGTAACACGTACCGGTAGGTACTTCGGCCAAATAGGGCCGGTATGATTTAAGGAGGACCGGCCTGATTTCACAGATTACCAGTCCGAGCCTGCCTAAATACCAATTACCAGCCTTTAAACAAATAAGTATACAAGCAAATGTCATTAAGCATGAAAACTAAAACCAATTTTTAAAGGTAACTATACACAGCTTGTATGGAGAGTAATGGAAAATGATTTTCCAAAAGAAGACACCCATATTTTCTCAGTTAAGATATTACAGACACAGCGGATTCCAAACAACAGAGTGCACTAAGATAAGCAGCAGTCACACACACACAAAAGTAAATAGTCCAACAGTCTTGAGTAATGTTTAGAGTTTTCATAAAACCGCAAAGGAGCTCCATAAGAGAGGGTTGAAGGGGAAACTCACCAACACACAGTAAAAGAATGTGAGAGAAATTGTAGGAACAGAGCAACCATTGAAGGCATTGAAGCTTTGCTGCTGATGATTCATACTGGGATCATGCTGCTTTCTGAGGGCAAGAGTTGATCTGAGACGAGACGCCAAGCCCTCATGTAACTGGGGAGGTACATTCCGGATAAAGGTTATTTGGATCTTGTAGAATGTGATTTGGGAAGATCAGATCAGACAGCAACCTGAAACAACCCCTAGCAGCCCTGAGAGGAGTACTCTATATTTAATAACTAGACCACCCAAATAAATTAAACAATCCATCAGAGAAATAAGCAAACTTTCAGGGGCGCAACAAACCAAAAAGGAAGTTTATTCATATTTACTCTACTCAGACTGGATTAGGGGGGTCATCAGGAGTTAACAGCTCTCCCTGCGGAAGCAAGGACTCATGGTCTGGTTGTTAAGGATGCCAGAGACCTCCACAGGGTCTGAGAGGTCATCAGAGGAAGCTATCACTCATCTGGACACCAAACCCAACGGAGGCCAGGGCTCACGGATCAGAATACTTATTTTTCTATCATATGAAATCCACCTATGTGCCTTAGATCAGATGTGCTTTCTCTCACTCTATTACAATAGATATAAAGACTGCACACAGCAACAACGTGACAATGTGTCATGTTTGACTTTAAGGTTTAGCACGTCATTGCAACTATTTAGATTTTCAGTAGTTTTGTAGGATATAGATAAAATTCATGAAGAAATAACTAAATTATTTTTTAGAAATTAATTTACAAAAACAAGGCATTCTATCAGGTGGGTAGACTGCTTATAAGTACAGTTTATGATCAGTTTCATCCTGATGATTGAGAGACAGTCGTACATCTGCTACATGTAGGGTTTTTACAGTGAAGAGTGTTACATTATCTTTACATTTCAATATAGATCAGTCAGATATTCCTATCATTTTAGAGGGATTCAGGTATAGTTGCAATCATTTAGTTAAGCTTGTGTTTTTTTTTTCCTCCCTTAGAGATAAATCAAATGTACTGCTTTTTTTAAACCAAGAAGTACTGCATGTCCAAAAGGATTTGTCAGCGGTATTTTATTTTTTCTTATCTTATTAGAACATGACTGTTAGATAATGTTCTAACACATTTTGGGTTTTCTCCTTTTGAATTGCCACTAAATTTGTAGGAACATGCTGTTCTCCATAACTCGATTTGACAACTTTCTGAAGAAGTAGGTTTCAAAACGCAAATTTATGATGAACCAGGTATTTTACATAGATTCCGATGCCTAATAATGTAAATTCAGCTTAAATATTATCTTAGCTTGGTCCTTTATATTGAGCAAAATGAGATAACCTGCAAGATTAAGGAAACCCGACACATTTCTCAAATAATCATGGTTTTATAAGTGGTTTTTTAAGAGGGTAGGAAAATTAAGTTTTGCATGCTTCAAATATATTTACTTCCCACAGCCTTTGAAGAACTATGATACTCTTTAATTTTGCAGTCAGTTAACCAAAAACTGGATGGCTAAATCAAAAACTCTCCAGTTTGATGATTGGGTAGTTTTTAGGTTGGCTGGCTTTTTTTTTTTTTTTTTTTCTCCTTTACATGCTCTTAGCTCCCCTCCTGCTGGTACTTCAAAGTACTACACAAAAACCACCCACCCATAAACCAACCTCCACATTCACACATCAAGCCTGAGGAGAGGTACCAAAATAGGTTTTTATTTTTCATTTTTTCCATAAAAACATTGTCAAAACTGGAAAACATGTTTGCATATAAACTTTGTAAAACAATAAGACAATGTTTTAATTTCACAGATTGTACAAAATATTAACAACAAAAAGAAATTCATACATAAATCATACCCCTCCTTTAGATTCAACAGTTGAACCCGTCACCAAAGCAATGCAGCGTCTGTCACGTAGAGGCAGAGTAAACAAGCACAAGTAGTGTCCGCTGCCAGCTGTGTCTTCAGCTGACTAGAATCCAGTCGGTGCTTTTTAGATTGTAGGAGTCACTGAATGTTTCAGTCTGTAAGTGTACATGTTGGGGGTAAACCCTTTAGACATTTAAGGCTTGACTTCTGAATACTAAAGTTACTTTAAAGCTAAATAAACTTAAAAAAAGATCAAATGTCTTGAAACCAATGAAAAAAAAAACTAGCACCGACTTATCCTTTTAAAAACAGCTTGTTTCTGTGTTGCAGTTCAAATAAAAAGGAACTTAAACTTTTGGTTGTGTTCAAAACAACAGCAGGGTAACATCACAGTTTTGGATAGATGTTCTATTTCTAAAAAATAAATAATTCACTGGTTGGTGAAGCAAAGTAATAGAAAACCAACAGTCATGTCTTAAATCTAACTTACCGTATGTAACTGAATCTTTAATTGAAAGGGCCGTGTTCATAGCAGCAGTCCTGGGCTTGAAGTTGGTTGACTCCAAACTACAAACGTGAGTCGGTTTTTTTAGGACAGTCATTAAAATATATATCCATACTTTAGATTTTTGAGCATAATTTTCCCCTTTTCCTTACTTCCCAAAGTAATTTTTCTCTCATGTTTAGCTGTTAGCTTGAATTTCCATTGCTTATAATTTATAGAAATGTTGAGCTTTACTAAAGGTTTTAAACACTGCTGTTATTTTGCACACAACCTTATATTATCCCTGGAACCTAGAGCTGTGTGTCGCCATTAAACTCTAAAAAACATAAAAATTACAGTTTTTAGAAAATTCCAGTCAATTTCTACAATAAATCTGTAAAACAAAGACAAACTTGAAGGTAATTTGTAATTATTTTAACCTTAAACCCTTATCAGGATATTGTCACATAAACCTTCTGAGTTGAATGGATGAGAAAATGTTGCTTTCATTAATATCAGTGTTTTATTGTGGTTGAAAACAATGTTTTTATTAAATAGTTTTTTTGGGGGGTTTAACTGACAAAAGTATAGCATCGCTTGATAAACCAGACACCGTCTTATTAGAATAAAATAAACTTCCTGAGCATTTACATTTAATTATTTCTGAACAAGTTGTCTAAGGAGACAATAGTGGGTTCTAATAATCATCTAAATCAAGAAGGAAAAAACAATGAACATGCATAGCCCTGTTAATCAAAACCAAACAAAGCAAGAAGCATGCTGACATATTTCCATACGACTACTGATTAAATCGCTGTTAAGCATTTTTGTTTAGTTTTCTAAGACGACTTGCATCCCTTTTTCCTCAATTGTCTTCACAGTAGATGTCACAGAAATTTCAGCAAACCAACAGAAAAATCACCAAAGAAAAAAAAAAAAAAAGAGAGAAAATAAACAATCAACAATCTGATATGTACCCACTACTCTCCTCCAAATATGTAAGATTTTAGTCAATAGAAGATGAAGGAGGGATCCAAAACACCTGGAGTTTTTTATATTTAACTGAATATGTAATGCTTAATGCCTAAACTTAACCACTAGCAGCATTTGACTTGATGCGTTAATTAATTAGTTCTCAGGCTTGGATTAAGAGAGGACAGAAAAAGATGGCACAGATGTCTTAACTCACTCATAAACCTTCTCCAGTCAACTTTTAATTAGTGTCACCAGTCAGATTTCAGTGTAGCCATACCAGGAGTTGGAAAATCAGTAACTCATACCGATCACAAATCAAAGTTGTTGCACAAAACAGCGCCAAAAGCAAATTAAAATGCTCTAATAAAAGGGGAACAAAAAGCAGGTATAAGTTGCGGCGACTACTCCGTCACCTTCTCAGGCATCAAGACGGCATTGTTCTTCCTTTAAAAATGCTCCTGTGTATTCTAACTCGCACCTTCTCCCTCTCCAACTCTATATTTGCCAACGTCAATTTAAGACCAAAGTGTGTTGTTCACCAAACATGCGGCAAAGGTCCAGTGATAAGACAGCTTCCATCAGCTTGTCTTGTCCTGGGCAGAGGCTCAGCTGTGAACTCACTGTGAACTCTGCTTCACTTTAGGCAGCTCTTGCTCAGCTCTGGGTAATTTCGGTGAGGGCACAGGTTTAGCAGCGCCATTATGTCCTTCCATGAACATGTTAGGAATGTCCTGGCCAAAGTAGATCTTACTGTTGGCCGCTATGGCCTGGTACTTCATGAGCTCCAAGTACTCTGGTGTTAATTTCAGCTGCAAAGATAAAGTGGGAAAAGTGGTTAATTGATGCATTAAATAAAAATACTAGCATGTCTTTTAACACAACACGGCTGAAAATAAACCCAATACAGGTGTTGGGACAACTTGAGAAGGGTAGGAGGAGATGATAACAGGTTCAGGATCTGACTCAGCTGAGGAGGATATTTTTATGCTTAATCAAAACGTTACATCTCTGAAAAAAGTCAGAGGTAGGAGGAGGATGTGAAGGTTTTTTTTTTCTCCCATAATCACCATCTGGCATCATTTTAAAAAACATAATCTGCAGTCTTTAAATATTCTGTCCATCAGACGGACTTATCCTGTCCTTACAACAGCGTTGTGCTTTTTGACAAATCAAAAAAAGATTCTTATTAATGTATCAATTTAAAAATCAAATATAATTTGATAAAGGAATAAATCGTCTATAGATTAATTACGCACAAAGAGACAAATCGCAAGTCTCTACTAGTGCAATAGCCTCATGGATAACCACAGGCATGAGTGGATTGTAAAGTAGAAGGCCATTAAAGTTCTGGGGAAATGTCAGAGTGTGGCCTGTAGCTGGAGAGGTGACTAAAGTTAACCTGGCAGTAGGCAGATTGACACGTATAAAACTGAGTTGGCGTCTATGTTATCAATCTAGGATGGCTGTTGTTCAGTCTGTCCGTGAAAGGAAGGGACGTTTAGTACAATGCTTAGAGCTAACTGGGTGACATGCAGGCTAGTACCCGGATTCCATAATCAAACTCTTTCCAAATCCTGTTGGAAGAAAAGCACAGACATCTTTCCCATCTACAAACGCACAAAGTGCTTCTCTTTGCTTCTCTTTAAATGAGAAATTGTCGCTATTTTAGCTAAAAGCGAGTCAATTTGGCTTTTGACAGGTGAGTCCTCCAGCATAGCCATGTTTGTAATGCCCCGGCAAGGTCCTTCTGACAGTGATCATCCTCACACGTCCCGCCCCAAAAAACGCTGCTGGCATGTCATTGGTCCAATCCGATGGTTGTTACGAGACAGACGTATGTGAGACTGAAAACTCGGTTACAGCGCAAGGTTAGCTTCAAGTGCCATCTAGCAGAAAAATACGAAAAAACATTAGGATGATAAGTGGAGCGGAGCAGAATGTCAATTGCTCGAGGTCCAATGTGAAGTTTCAGAGTCAGCGATGATTTAGTGAGGCATGCCCTCTGCTGGGTTTCAGTTAAAGACAGGAAAATTATTGTTCTTATTTTAATTTTTTGAGAAAAAGATGTTTGGATTTTCAAAATCAATGATCCATAATCATCTCTGTTAGCTGAAATAATCACTAGAAGGGGATAGTGGTCAATTAATCTTTCAATTAAAGTGGAAAAATCTATAAATAATTTCTCTTTTTGAATTTGTCAATGACAAAAATGTTTTTTCAATGGGATTAAACTAGGTCTGAAAACAAATAATCAGATTTATCAATTATTGAAATAATCGTCAACTAATTTAGTAATTGACTAATCATTAACTGGAGTATAGACTGTAAAACATATCTTTAGCTAACAGAGCAACCCGCTTAAAGCAGTAATTATATCAAAATTGTAAAAAAAAAACAATATATAAACATTTTGGATTTAAGATAAAAAAAAATTAAATAAAAGATTAATCGATTTGCAAAATAATCTTTAGTTGCAGCCTGAGATTATTCCCCATGGCGATCCCACTGCATGTGATTTGATGGTGTTTTTACCCTGTTTGCTTCTGCAGACTTGGCAGCAGTGTAATATTCTGCATCAGCCTTTGCCTTCTCCCTCGCCAGGAAAGCCGCGTCTAACACATAGAGACAGTTTCAGATGGGAAACAAAAAAAAAGCAAGCAAACTAGCAACTACTGCGAATTTCAACATAAGTTACCTTCTATTTCAGAGATCTTTTTCTCCGTCTCTTTCTCCATGACTTTCTGTCTGAAATGGATCTCTGCTACTTGAGCCACTTTCTGAGCCTCTGCGGGGTAAACAGGGAAGAAAACAGTAAATCATGCACATACAACAGTGGAAGATTTGAATTACAGTAAAGGGCTGAACCCAGACACAAAAACTTTTTCATTGGATCTTGCAAAGTCAAAAGCAGACAGTGCAAGCCAGCCTTCAAACAACAGATGTACCAATAATGGCTTTCTTTCTTTCAGTCTCTGCTTCCTTCTCTACCACTTTTTGAGTTTGAGCTGTTATTAACAGACGGGTCTTCTCAGCCTCCCTGGACAAAAAGAGAACATAAACATTTTGTGAGGGATGGGTTCAAGACTAAGACTGTAATATGTAAACATACAGAAGGATTGCAAACTTACATTAGTTCAAAGTTCCTCCTTATAGCCTCTGGGATCTTTGGTTTGGTTACACGTACTGCCTTTAACCAACAATGAAACATCAGGAAGAAAAAAAATTGCTTCAATGTGATCAACAGAAAGCTGAAAACGAATTACAAATCAGTGAGTAGTAGTTTGTTTCTAATTTAACTTTTTTTTTTTTTACATAACTCTATGAATAAATTATTTTTTTTTACACTGGTGTGGCCAAATTTAATGTTTACTGATGAAACATTATTCATTTACTGACTATGTGTCTTTAAGTGAAAATAAGAAATCACAATTGAGGGGAATCATTTTCTGTTGTAATTATTACCTGTATTGTTAGTCCAGGTGCCATGGCATTAAGATCCTTCTGTAATGCAGTTTTTAGATTCTCATCTATAATATCTGTAAGAGACAAAAAAACGAAACTTCATTGAGATGCTCCATGCTATAAATCCGTCTTTAAGGGTTAAGGAAAGAAGGTGAGCTTAAAATAAATTAACAAATAAAGTCAATTTCTCACCAAACAGCTCGATGTAGACCTCTTGCAGAGTATGGACGCTGCAGAACTGGTTTAGTTCATGGTGGATCTTGTTGAAAATTAGAGTTTTGTCATAGTCAGCAGTGTAGTTCCTCACAGTATCAACAACTGCACACAAACAAAAGGAAACTTTTTAAAAAAAATACCCCACTAACCAAAAGCAGACAAGTTAAGGTGAAACATGAAATTTTACCTGCTGAAGGAACCAACATATTAACGACTTCTATCCTGTCGAAATAAATCATCACACCTCCACTGCACACAGAAAGAGAGAACCGAAAAATATCCACTTTATCATAAAGACATTTTATGTTATGTTGGTCTGTTTTTGAGCAAATACAGTGAGTCACTGAATAAAGGCGTACCTTGTTCCACAAGGCACATTCTTGATCTCATCGGTTTGAAGCGTAGTCTGAAACAGACAGGGAAAATAGACATTATCATGGTAGCTTATAGGAAATACCAGAATTATTCTTGTGCTTAAAAAATGTTAATTGAAATACGTGGATGCAAATATACGGAGTGAAATTAATACATTGCATGAGTTA